AGAGAGAGAGAGAGAGAGAGAGAGAGAGAGAGACAAGCACACAGTTCACCCTTGCCTCCAATATACAGAATTCCTTACTCGTCAACATGTCTACATTATAACATCCTTTAAGCTAGTTCTCCTTTCAGCTTCCATTCAGGCAGGTTTTCTACAGAACAAATTCCTACACAAACACTGAACTGAAACTGCTGTGTGCTGACTTTTTTGACTTGAGATCGTCATGATAAAGCAGTTCATGAATTAGCCTGGTTGCTATTATTCATTATTCCGGGCAACAATGTCGATGGCCGTCGGTCGGATTTCTTGCAGGGGGGGGTTTTGACCTGGGGGGTCGTTTGTTTTGTTGTTGTTGTGGGGTTTTTTAAAGGCATTTTCCGACTCCTGTTCTACTTCCCAGCCCCTAGCCTTGTTTACCTCGATCCATAGACGTGTGGTAGTAAGTTGTGTATCCTGGACCGAGCACTCTGGGCTACAGTTTTGTTTTAATAAGAGTTTTACGGCACTTGCAGCACAATAAGGTCAAATAGGTGCCGAAGATCAGAAGTGTTACAAGAGAGTAACAAACACAAAAAAGAAGGAGGAGAGATGAGGATGACAGATTTTTCATAGGAAAGAAGGGGCAAACCACACCAGAGCACCTGCCAACCACCCGCCTCTGGGGTATCTGTGGTTGGCGTAGGAAAGACAGAGAAAAACTGTGAGATCTCGGGGACTGGGGGGGGGGGGTCATATATACAGATCTACTGTTCGTTTTGAGACAGATGGTAAAACAACACAATGAGTGGAACGTTCTAGTTATTTTGAACTTTGCAGACTTTAAAAAGACTTTTATAAACAGCGTAGACTGGACTGCCCTGTGGGGAACTCTTGCATATTATGGCACCCCAACAAAAAAGTTTTAAAAACGTCATAATCCTTGTATACCAGAGCAAGTTGCTGTGTCTTAGTTGAAGATAAATGGTCTACGTTTGTTGAAATGAGTACGACAAGGCTGTATACTATCACCTGAGCTTTTTTAAAAAACATTGTGATTGGCTTCGTGATGAGACAGACCACAGACATCTGAAAACAGGCAGTTGATGGATGAGTGGAGCATAATATTTAGGAGAGTTGGATTTTGAGGAATATTTTTCCTTATCAACATCACGGACCATAAAATTCAATTTAAAAATCGATGAATTATCAAGATCTGCAGAAAAACGTTGACCTTGGAATGATATATTATTTTTTACGAAACAGAAGTGCGGCAATTATCACCAAAATGTACCCCCATCGCGCTTTGCAGAGAACCGCTAGCAACATTAATAAATATAAGTACCTTGGTAGCATTATCTTTGAAGAAGATGGAGATATGTTGGATATGTTTTGAGAATGTAAGAGATAAGATTGCCCATCACACATGGTACTGGAGACCAACTGGAGAAAGATGAAGAGGCAGACCAGCTGGAAGTTACAAAAGCACAGACAGAGATGAGGCAATCACCCGGGGCCAAGATGTGCCAAAGTTAGAGGAGGTGGCCAGGGACAGACAAGCGTGGTGTCGACTGCTCTCTGTCTTGTGTACTTGGCAGTACAAGGAGAGAGCAAATTAGTATTATCATCATCATCATCATCATCATCATCATCATCATCATCATCATCATCATCATCATCACCATCCGGTGCCTTGCCGACTGGCGTGTGCGATCATGGACCTCCACTTCCCTCTGCCTTGCGTTGCAGCAATGGTGTCTGTTGTTCTTGCTGTTCCCAGCCGTGGTGTCCTGTATCTTTTTCCTCTGTCTGCCTCTGCCTCTCTTTCCATCAAACTTTAACTTGCCTGTTGTTACAATATTCTCCAATGCTTCTTTCTGCATTGTGCATATCATATATTTATCATAAGCTGTCGTCTGCAATTTGCTTCAACCAAGACTTCTTCATATTTTGTTTTTCTAACTATCCATGGGATACGCAGCATGCGTCTTATGAACCACAACTCTGTCGCCACAATTGTTCTTTCCAGCTGTTTAATGATTGTCTACACACAAACAAACACGCAGGCTAGGCCAATTGGAGCGCAAGGGACAAAAAAGTGACATACAATGGACTGTAGCGACACTGGTATCTCGTCCTTCCTTCGGGCGTCATGGTGCGGCCATCAATGGAATAAATACGTTGCACAAAAGAGGACGAGAATCAGCGGCCATGACAGTGTGCGATCTAAGACGAAGAACACAAGTCTATGGCTGGTTCTCCTCGGAATAGAACGCACGATCAGAGAATAGATCTTGTTGTCTCTCAACGACAAAGGGGAGTTATGCCTATTCACCTATGCTGTTAACGCAAGGAGATTAAAAGTTCTAAACTCCTTGTGTTAACGACAACAAAAGGGGGTTAGGCCAATACTGCATAAGTTGTCAGAATAATGCTGATCTTCCCACAGGGTCTACTGACGTCATACAGCGGGTCACGGGCACTGAGAACATAGGTTTGTGGCGATGTTGGTGGTCTAGTGGTTAGGCTGCCGGACTCGTAACTGTGAGACTGCAGGGTCGGGGGTTCGAGCCTCAGCTCGGCCCGACGTCGTGTCCTCGGAAAGGAAGGCATTGTACACGAACTTCCTGTTCGGGGCGGTCTTCTAAGAGACGAAATCTACACTCAGAGGTCCCGCCTTTTAGAGAATATTACTATGGGAAACATGACAGTCTTTGCTGAAATAAGAAATCAAACAAGAGTCAATAGACTCCGCAGAGGGTCTGGATGAAGAGGTAAAAAAAAACCCAAACATGTTAAAGTTATTATGTTGAGGGTACTTTGGCCTTCTTTAAGGTACAATCTGTCAGTTGAACAAGGGCAATATGTGAGGCAGCGTGGTGGAATCAGGCTCTCGTCAAACTAATCAAAGTAAAGAAACTTGCATTTTTTGGCAGGTTTGTGAATTTTTATCAAATTTTTGTTTTTTGGCTCAACACCTTTCATGTCCATTAAAGAACTCATTTCTGTGTGGCTTTTTCTGAAAAACGTTGATTAAAGGCATAAAAAATGTAAATCTTCAGTTACCACGGACTCTTAAGCTAAGGAAGTAACTAATCTTTGGTGCCATTTTCTCACTAATTTTACCTCTGAAAACATGTGACCCCCACCTCCTTTTTTTGCAAATATCTCGACTTGTATTCAAGATATATGGATATTTTTTTGCATCTAAATAAATGCAAGTGAACAAGTTTTGAGATGATACCAATAACTCTACATGCTCAAATATTGACGAGAGCCTGATTCCAGCACGCTGCCTCACATATTAGTAGGGCCAACATGACAGTCTTTGCTGAAATAAGAAATCTAACAAGTGTCAATAGACTCCACAGAGGGTCTGGATGAAGAGGTAAAAAACAAAACATTTTAAAGTCATGCTGTTGAGGGTACTTTGGCCTTCTTTAAGGTACAGTCTGTCAGGTGAACAAGGGCAATATGTGTTTTTCTTTTTCTTTCTCTTTCTTTTGTTTTCTTTTGGGG